CAAACAAAGTAAACACACAGGTTGACTAATCAACAAACATAATGTTAATCTTCTACTAATTAAGTTCTTAATTCAATCAAATGTTAGAATCAACCTTAAAGTATGACTTTAATAATTTTACCCAACAAAGAGAACAGGGTATATTTTTACACTATTTTCATCATTTCACTTCATTTTATCATTACCCTACATATTTTACTATAAATATCAATTGTACATATTATTGGTAAACTAGTTTTGACTGTATATACTCTGCACTGCTGTTATTGCACTTCTGGTTAGGTGCTAAACTACAGTGGGTACGGAAATTCTAAGCGGTATGTGTGGAGAAAACCAGGCACTGCTCATCACCTGTCCAATACAGTCCCAACAGTGAAGCATGGTGGTGGCAGCATCATGCTATGGGGGTGTTTTTTAGCTGCAGGGACAGGACAACTGGTTGCAATCGAGGGAAGGATGAATGTGGCCAAGTACAGGGATATCCTGGACGAAAACCTTCTCCAGACTGCTCAGGACCTCAGACTGGGCCGAAGGTTCACCTTCCAACAAGACAATGACCCTAAGCACACAGCTAAAATAACGAAGGAGTGGCTTCACAACAACTCCGTGACTGTTCTTGAATGGCCCAGCCAGAGCCCTGACTTAAACCCAATTGAGCATCTCTGGAGAGACCTGAAAATGGCTGTCCACCAACGTTTACCATCCAACCTGACAGAACTGGAGAGGATCTGCAAGGACGAATGGCAGAGGATCCCCAAATGCAGGTGTGAAAAACTTGTTGCATCATTCCCAAAAAAACTCATGGCTGTATTAGCTCAAAAGGTGCTTCTACTAAATACTGAGCAAAGGGTCTGAATACTTATGACCATGTGATATTTCAGTTTTTCTTTTTTAATAAATCTGCAAAAATGTCAAAAATTCTGTGTTTTTCTGTCAATATGGGGTGCTGTGTGTACATTAATGAGGAAAAAAATGAACTTAAATGATTTTAGCACTGTATTTCGTTGCCTTGTATTTGTACATGTGTAATGACAATAAAGTTGAATCTAATCATTTCACTGACTAATTCACTTTGTCAATATAGTGTAACGTGAACTGGAAAGATAAAGAAAAGCTGTCCAAGCAGACATTTTATGTATAGTAATAATTTCCATCATACTTTTACTACGTGCATGTTTTTTTTGTTTTTTTTTTAAATAACTTTGTAGAATTGCAAGACTACCATGTCAGGGTGGAAGGACTGCTATGTTCTCCCAAGAGCAAGAGTTTCCTATTGTTGATATGGTCCGTCAAAACAATCCCATCCAACTCCGTGAAATTCAGCAAAGAGCTATTGAAGACAATTTAAATTTTGAAGGAATCAACAGTGTAAGCCTTTCTACCATTGACCTTGTCCTCCAATGTAACCGCATACGCATGAAGCAAGTATACAGAGTACCCTTTGAGCGCAACTCTGAAAGGGTCAAAGGTCTGTGACATCAGTATGTGCGAGTAAGTACTGTAAACACTCAGACATGTTCAGTGCTGATGCTTACAGTACATTTCTGAGCTTCTAGCCTACAGTTACTGTAAAGGGCGCTGTGTATGTAAATCAGGAGTGCATGCAAAGACACTATTGTAAAAGTCAGTATTCGCTGACGTACTGCAGTAAATTACTTTATTTTCAGAGTGTTGGGATTGGGTTCCATGGAAAGGCCCCATAAATGGATCTTTGTAGATGGAGCAGGATTCAATCTTATGAAGAGAAGGAGAAACGTAATTGGCCAACGTGCAATAATGGAAGTCCCTGGTTAGCGTGGTGGCAATGTCACCCTTTGTGCAGCCATAAGCAATCATGGGGTTCTCCGTGCACATGCAGCCCTGGGGCCATACAATAACATCTTCTCACGTTTCTGGATGGTCTAAGAAATGTTTTGTTTGATTGAAAGTAACAGGATCAGCAGCAGGAAGTGCAACCTGTCTGTTGTTGTTTGGGACAATGTCATCTTTCACCGTGGTGTCTGAATACACAAGTGGTTCAACAACAACAACCTGCAATTTTAAATGTGTTCCTTCTACCATGCAGCCCTTTTCTCAACCCAGTCGAAGAGTTTCTCTGCATGGCAGTGGAAAGTCTATGACCGAAACCCAAATATCAGGGAAAATCTGTTACAGGCAATGGAACTGGCCTGTGGTGAGATAGACGTGCAGTCTTGTCAAGGCTGGATCCGCCACACCAGAGGGTTTGTTGCCTGGCAAGGGACAACATTGCCTGCGTAGATGAAGTCCTCTGGCCGGGCCCAGCTCAAAGACGTGATCCTGAGGCAGAATAATCTTTCTGATGTTTGTTCTTTTTTTGATGGTTTTTGATAAATTCACCAGACTTGGGTGTGATTTCTTTTGTTGTGTGTGTTTTTTCCTATATACATTAAACTTTTTTTTGTAACTACATGCCCTGGATGCTGTGTTCTCCGTTTTTTCTAATGAATGAGCTGCAGTGTTGAATATGATGAACTCGTGTGTGTGTGTGTGTGTGTGTATGATCTGAAAGCACTGTTTGATTTTGCCAGAAGAGTCAGGTTTTGTGAATTTAGTTTGTCTTTGGATTTGTGTTTAAGGTTTTGAGAAAATGACTGATGCTTTTAGCGATTCAGAAAAACTAATACAAAGGTTTACACTGAAAATGTAAAATGATCAACTCCCTGTGCCAGAGTTTGATGCCTGTCCTCTGGACTTCTAAGGTAAGTAATACTAATAATTTCAGTGCATACCGATTTATTCTAACAACGTTATTGCTTGTTTTGCCTGTGTATTCATTTGGTTAGAGAGGAAAGTTTCATTTCATCTGTATCTGTTTAATTTCCATTATACAGTAATACATGATGTCACTTGTTGTTTCCTTGTCAGTCCATTGGTTTGTGTTTAATTTGTGTAATTATGACCCATCTGGTTTTTTGACTCAGAGGGTAAAAGCTGAAACCTAATGGATTCTAAATTCAGAGTGTTCTGTTTCCTACAGTTCCCATAATGCAACTGGGCAGTGTTAAATTAGAGACAGACAGAAAAACATCTGTAAAGTGGGGGTTTTTTTTCTGCCAAGTGTGTGAGAAAGAAAAACTTCCTCCTCCTCCTTCCTGGAATCTGATTGGCTGAGAGCCCCGCCTCCTCCTCCACTTGATTCCAGCTGGGCCAGTGATCCTCCTCCCCACTATCAGACTGGTCTCCTCTGCTGGTTTGGTTCAGGTCAGAGCAGAGAAACAGTCCCACACAGATAAAGTCACAGAACAGACTGAAAACATGCAACACAGACACTGTAGCTTCCTGTTCGTCTCTCAGGTAAGGTGCTGCTCCGAATGTTTACCGCCACATTCCTTCTTTCTGCTCGCTGAACACGTCGCCACATGTGTCTGCAGCTGCATTTGGACTCTGACTCACACGGTTGTATTTTGGACTCTGACTCACACGGTTGTATTCTGGACTCTTCACTGAGACTCTGTTTTTAACCAAGGGAGTTTTAATCATTAACATGTTTGACAACCAGACTGTCACTGGGTTAGACGTCATGTATTCATCAGTGAACACGGTTTATCTAACTTTACTTATACGTGATGTAGGGACAGCTGTGAAAACCAGTCCAAAGAGCTGACGTGGCGTTTCCACACAACACACAGACTGCAGACCACGAAAAGCAGCTTGAGATAAAATGTTGAAAACTCTGGGTTATGAATATTTTGCCCGATTGACACAGAATTCACAACACAAGCCCAGTTCTTTCCATGGAAACACTGTGATTGTTGTAGCTCCTCCATGTTTCAGCTGTATTCTTGTGTCTAACTGGTGAAACTGTCTTTGATGCAAGAGTCTGGACAGAACCAGGAAACGGCTCCACATGCTGGACTCACTGCTGGTTCTGAGTCAGATACTGAACCAGACAATCTGAGCATCCTGTTCAGTAAAATATTTCCTGGCTGTGTTTGCAGATAAGTCTGAACGATGTTTCCACCACAACACGTTTGTTCTTTGGTTTTATTTCCAGGACACTTTCGATGTGTGGAATGATTTGGCCATATTGTGTAGCACATTTTAGAATTTTATTTTAAATCAATACAAAAAAAATGTGCAGATTGGAAAAGAGTTGAATTTATTAACTGTCAGTTTCATATTTGATAAGTGAATCAGAATCTATTGATTGATAACCACAGAAGGATTTTCCACTTCCTGTGTGTTCAGGCTCCCATCATGTTTATTGACCACATGTCGGCGTCATTCAGTTAATTAGCAGAACATTACTTATGTTTCTCCTCAGGTTCAGTCTGTCAGCAACAAATATACAAGTTAATCTCTAATGTTAACGGATGCGCTCTCTCTCTCTCTCAGTCATGATCTCCTTGGTCGCCCACTCATTCTGGGCCCCCGGTTGTCAAGGAGGCAGGCGCTCCATGGCAACCATTATCTCCGGCATCAAGACCTCGAAGTGAGTCCACAGCCCAGTGTCTCCCACTGGTTTCCACTTTGTCCCACTATCTCCTAGTTTCTTTCATTTTCTCCCAGTGTGTCCAGTCAGACTATACAGACTGGGACCAGGATTAAACATGTTTCAGGAGGCCTGGGTAAACTGTTACACTGTTGACCTTTGACCTCTGAGAACTGATCCTGGGTCTGTGTGTGCAGGCTGGTGAGGGAGAGGTTGAAGATGGAGGTGGACAAGATGGAGAGTCACTTCTCAGGGTTCAGACCCAGGTCTCCAGGTGAGTCTGCAGGTCACGGGTCTGGTGGTCTACAGGCGAGTCTGCAGGTCTGGTGGTCCTACAGGTGAGTCTGCAGGTCTGGTGGTCTACAGGTGAGTCTGCAGGTCACGGGTCTGGTGGTCTACAGGCGAGTCTGCAGGTCTGGTGGTCCTACAGGTGAGTCTGCAGGTCTGGTGGTCTACAGGAGAGTCTGTAAACTCCTGAGTCTGAGTGATTAACAAGTATAGGTAATGAAATGAAAACACAACCTTCACACTGTGTATAAAACTGTAGTTTCTATTTTGATGCCCACAAAAGCAAAAACAAGACAAAACAGGCCTGTTACTCAGACATGTGATCCACAACCAGGCCACGTCGAGTCAGTCTGTGTGGAATTTGAACTGTGTGACTCTGACGACACCTGGTGGTCAAACAGAAAACATCAGAATCTATCGTTGACTGTTCTGAGACCTGAATGTGAAGATAGAACATGAGGGACTCAAAATGGGACCAAACATCCTCTCAGGTGTCTGGGATCTGGTTCGGGTCCTGATCACAGGACCAGACCAGCTCAGGTTTAGGTGTACGTGCACAGAAACCTGCTGAGTTCACTGCAGCTGCTCTTCTTCACACCAACACTGATAACAAACCTCCTGAAGCTGCACAGTCACAGCTTCATTCACTCAGTCACACACATGAGCACATGACTAGACGTACCGTCAACCTGCTGCACTGGCTGACAGCTGTCCAACCTGCTGAATAGAACTGGTCCCAGTTCAGCACTGGGATTTGGTTATTTAACTTCCTGCAGGTGTGTAGAGAACCACTGAAAGGAATCACTGAATTCTCAGGGACCTTCATCAGGCTTTTAAATGGACACTTCCTGATGTCTGCAGGTTTAACGAGGCTCCGGCCTCTAACAAGCTGCCTCGTTAGACACTCAGGTGTCCATGCTCTTTATTACCTGTGAGATTATTGGTGCTCCATCAGTGCTTTCTCGTTAGGCATGAAGTCACACCAAGTCAACTTCAGTGGGCGTTTGGAGATAAAGGCAGGAACAGTCCAGTGTGTTTTAAAGCTGATCCACTGTGTTTCAGGTGGGAGACAGAGACGACTCCAACCTGTACATCAGCTCCAAGCTGAAGGCTGCAGCAGAGGTGAGGCTCAAAGCAGGAGAACATCCCATACACGCTCATCAGGTTTAAAGTCTGGTGATATTTGACCTTTTATAGTCAGAGGGCTGTCAGGATGTCAGCTGAGGCCAGCGTCACACTGACAGTCTGTCATCACGTGTGTGTTTGGTCACATTTAGTTCCTTTGCTCCTTTGTTATGACCTTCCCTGGCTGACTAACAGTACAGACATGGACAGGACAGGAGTCGTCCTCTCTCTAGTACAACCACACAGAGCACCAGTCTCTCCCACTGTGACCACAGCCGCTGAAGTCGGACTGGGTGTTTTATTTAGTCCCACAGCCTCAGACGAGTTGCACAAGGGTGAGACTCCTGCTTCATCCCAGGTGTTTCAAAGCCCATGTTTTGGTTTTACATGAGAGATGTCTTCACAGATGAGGACTCCAGGGTTACTTTGGCAAACATACATCGGGTTAGCGTCCTCGCCTCTGACACTTCCCAGGGCCGTGACATGACACCGTGCTCATGTTTATATATTAATACTGATGTGTGAAGCTTTAGTAACACGTTCAGTTTCTCATCTACAGATTGGAATCGATGCAAAACATGTGAGGCTGCCGCGCACGGCGACACAGGACGAGGTCAGTGCTGAGCTCATGTCTCTACCCAACATGCATCAGTGGTGAAAGTCCAGCTCAGACTGTTTCCTGTGTCCACAGCTGCTGCAGAGCATCATGTCTGTCAACGAGAACCCATCAGTGCACGGCCTGATCGTCCAGCTCCCTCTGGACTCTGTCAGCCCCATCAACACCGAGCTCATCACCAACGCTGTCTCCCCAGAGAAGGACGTGGACGGGTGAGTGGCCCACAGGAAGTTGACATCATATTTAGTTTGTCTTTTTGTTTATCAGCATCTTCTGTGAATTTGTCTCAGGGTTTTATATTTTACTTGTCCTATAAACTATATTGTCGTAGTCCGAAAATGCTGCATAACACGGCACCATGTGCTCACAGAAGATGCTGTGGGCCGGCACCTGGCCAACAAGCAAGGAGGAGAACACCGGTCCTGTCTTTTCTTGGGTTTTATTAAACAGATTAAAGAAAGCACTTGAAAATGCTGCATAACACGGCACCATGTACTCACAGAAGATCAACAACACAACTCCCTCGGAACTCGACCATGTCCCGCACCAACAGAACACACAGTCACACCCACCTGTTACTCTTTTTATACCCTCCCAATGTGAATACAAGTGGCCGAAATGAGTTTCCTTTGAAGGGTGGTTGGACTTACCCTCAGATATAGGGTGTGGAATTTGGAGTAGAAGTTGCAAAATGCCAAGATGGCAGCCGCCATATTCATATTTTGGCTTCACCTTTGTATAGCAGAAGAAAGTGATGACACTGTCCATACTTATATAAAGTCAGTGGTGTGGGCTTTCAAAGCTCATTTTGATTGGGTTTTTGGATTTTGTTTTCCCTTAATAATAAAAACCTTCATTTAAAAACTGCATGATGTGTTTACTTGTGTTATCTTTGACTAATATATAAATTTGTTTGACGATCTGAAACATTACAGTGTGACAAACATGCAAAAAGATAAGAAATCAGTAAGGGGGCAAACACTTTTTCACACCACTGTATATACAATATAATTATATATATATATAGTTATAGCTGTGTGTGTGTGTGTGTGTGTGTGCGGACAGTCTGAGTTGCATCAATGCAGGGAAGCTGTCTCGAGGTGATCTGAACAGCTGTTTCATCCCCTGCACCCCCAGCGGCTGCATGGAGCTCATCAGACAGACAGGTCTCTCTCACACACACACACACACACCTGAACATGACAGTTATATGTGTCCTTCTTTACACACAAGCTTCATACACACATTGTTCTGAGTTGTGGAACCTCACCGACACTAGGGGAACCAGGGCCCTCTCCTGGAGCCACAGCTGGGGGCGGAGCTGGCTCAACCAATGGGGTCCGGTCACGCAAAGCCTGACAAAGCTACTTAGGGCCAACATGCTACAATCCCACCAGCTGCATGGAGCTGCAGCAGGAAATGATTCAGAGGGTTAAAATAGCAGTGAGCTGCAGCTGTGACTCAGGCCTCTCAGTCAGGATGTTACACAGGTGACACACATTTAAAACTATCTCACCTGTGGCTTCCTGTTCCTGTGCAGGTGTGTCTGTGGAGGGGAAACATGCAGTCGTCATTGGCCGCAGTAAAATCGTTGGCGCGCCGATGCACGACCTGCTGCTGTGGCACCACGCCACTGTGACCAGCTGTCACTCAAAGACAGCAGACCTACCTGAGCAGGTGATGGCACACGGCCGGACACTGAGGATGAGGAGGATGATTACTAGTCTCATTACTAATCTCAGGTGTCACAGCTTTGTTTGCTTTGGTGAGTTCAAGGAAGCTGTGACATTTACGAACTGATGTGATGAAGCTCTGGTGGTTTACACAAGTGAATACTGAGGTGTGAGGTTCTGACAGCGAGGAGAGATGGACCAGCGGTCACTGCCTGATGATGCGTTTCCTGCGTGTCCACAGGTGGGCCGGGCCGATATCCTGGTGGTGGGGGCAGGCAGAGCAGAGATGGTGAGAGGAGAGTGGGTGAAGCAGGGAGCCGTGGTCATCGACTGTGGAATCAACTACATCCCGGGTACACACTGGTACTGCCTCATACCACAGTGACACCGTGGTCAGGGCGTCTGAATATGAACACAACACTGAATCTGCTTTGATCCTAATGAATCAAACAACGGTGGTAGTGCTGTTATAAATGTGGACAGTGTCAGTTCTCTGTTTATTGTTGTGTTGTTGTGTCACTTACGAGTCTCCAGGCTGCAGAGACACCAACAACACTGCTCTTTTCTGTTGTTGAAATCCCAGCTCTCCTCCTCAGTGCTGCTGCTGCCACCAGCCAACATGTAGCTCCTCAGTCTGGTGATGTAATGACTTCCTCTTCACATCACAGCAGGTTTAAGAGTTTACATGAAGGGGTAGTTCTTAAATCGCCACATAATGAGCGTGATTTGGACTAAACCACATGGCAAGCAGACGTTTCTGCAGCTGGTGATAATGAACCTGAACGTGAGTGTGCCTGGACTTTTACTTCAGGCCTGTTGTAAAGCCAGGCTGGTATGAAACGTCCCCAGAGCCGGTGGACATTAAACTGCCACCTGTTCTGAACAACAGAAACTAAACCAGTGGCTCGGTTCTCTGTGTGCTCATGACGTGGAACTAAATACATGTGTACTTATGCTCGTGTGTGACCTTTGACAGATGCGACAAAGAAGAGCAGTAAACGTGTGATCGGAGACGTCCACTACACCTCAGCCAATCAGAGAGCAGGATTCATCACACCTGTTCCAGGAGGGGTGGGGCCGATGACAGTGGCCATGCTCATGGAGGTAGTTTTATCTTATGTCATTTAACACTGACTTTTTAAACTTAGATGTATTTAAGAGACAAAGAACATCCATCAAAATATAAATGATGCAACTAAAACAAACAGGTCATTGATCTGGACTCTTAATGAAAATCAATAATGGTTATGTTTGATCCAGTCAGCAGGCGGAACTGGTCAGGTGAAGGGTTAATATTCAGCCACTTGTCATCAAACTGGTGATGAGACTTTCCAGACTGGTGTTCAGACAGACTGAGGCTGTGCTCCAGTGTTCCAGTCGGTTCCCTGGAGACGGAGCTAGTGATTCAACTCCAGCACCGGGGGAGGAAACACATCACATGTGGAGCAGTGAAAGTCCTGAAACTGTGGACATGGTGGTTGACCAGGACACTTTTATTTAGAGATGTCACGCTAACAGAGCAGGTGTCAGTGCTGTATTAGAATGTCTGAGGTTTATTCACTGTACTGCAGCTTCACCTGTTTGCACAGTGACATGAAACACTCGTGTCCTGTGATGACGACGACGATGTGTCAGTGATGCAAAACTCTGATCACTGATCGGTGTGTGACATCGGAGCTAAAGGTCGGACTGAGTGTAAAATGTGCTGTAGCTTAATGTTCTGTGACTTCTCAGGGTTAATGTAACACTAAATGTGGTTTGTTCCAGAACACTGTGCAGAGCGCCCGGCGCTTCCTCCTGAAGATGAATCTCAGCTGAACCCAGCAGGTAAAAACGGCAGCTATAACCTCTAGAGTCCTGAGCTTTGGAAACCCAAGCTGTGCGGTCCTCATATGAGGACGCAGGGACTCTAGAGGTTAACAATAGAGTCTGGTTGAACCACACACAGGTCATTTGGTAATAAGATTTCCTCTCGGGTTCCTTTTAGTGTTGACTTTATTTCCTGCTATGCTCCCCCCTGCCTGAGCTGTGTTTGTTTAAAACATCTCCAAACATCTAGACAATGGAACTGAAGATTTCACAGACGGAGCTTCACATCTCCAACACCAAAGCTGCTTTTACAAATCAGCTGACTGAGTTTCCCACATGTGCAGGACAAACAATTAGAGAACAGAGTCTGAACAGATGAGACGGCTGCTGGTCTTTTATTTGCTTTATGATGTTGTTTGTCTTATAAAACTGGTTTTTAATCTCGGTGATTTTTTTTCCTGGTGAAATAAATGTGACATTAAAAATAAAGCCTCTCACAGTTTGCTTGTTTTGTTTTCTGCACACAGGTGAGAATGAGATGCGAGCTCAGACACAGAGGAACGTCTTCTGAACAAACAGACCCAGCAGCCGATCTTCTTCCCTCCTCTGCTCTTTAAACCACTGGTCAACACTTTCATTTTGTCTCCTTATGTTTTCTCACTGAATCAGTTGTGTGATCTGAGAGAATCATGTTAGTCAGGAGTCAACAACTTGACTGTGAACACAATAAAATCCTCGCTGCACGTGTCTGTTTTAGACTTTATTTATTTCTGTGTCTGTGTGGAAAAGCCCAAATCATCACTGAAGAATAAACCCGGGGTCGGAGGTCATCGTCATGGAGACGGACAGGCTATCAAATGCCTGATCAGTGTATTGATCACTGACAGACTCCAACAGAACACATGAAGTTTCATTTGTCCTCCAATGAATCCTTTAAAGTGCTCTAATGAAAACGATCTAGATCATTGTTTATTTAAGTCGTTTTCTCTATTTCATCGTTGTGACATTCAGACTTGACTGTCATTGTGCTGCTGTGCACGACAACAACGGGACGTTGGTATTCACACAACAACGAGCAGCAACATAAAGCACAGACACGCACAGATAAAACGCTGTTTCCTGCTCTTGCTCTCACTCATCACTGTTCGTCTCATTTACAGCCTGTTTTTGTTTCTATGTTTGCAGACAATGTTAAAGACTTGTAAACAAGGTGACCGGTCCTGTCCTGTCCCCTCTGGCCACC